TGTCCCCGCGCCAGAATGTGGGCAGGCGTAATGTCTCTTGTTGACCCAAGACATATTTATTTGGTAGGCGGCTTGCAGATATGGGAAACTGAGAGTCGGCGGGTTAGCGAAAATCACACTCAGCTAGCATGAGAAAAGGTGCGTTCCCCGTCGACGTATGAACACTGACCTGCTAGGCAATCAGAGCGAAGGGTATTTGCGTGTCCCAGTCTCGGAGATAATGAGTGTTGTAGAAATTCGTAAGCAAATTAATGAACGTGCGATTGATCCGTTCGACCTGGCCGTTCGCTTCGGGGTGAAACGGTGTGGTTCTGGTTTTGTGGATAAGTTACAAGTCGCAGAAGTGGCGACCCGCAATCCGAATGTTCGTTAACTGGGGCCACCGATCCACAGACCCATCAACAGAGGATAGTGTAACACGCGGAGAGTCGTTATTGGGTCAGGGTACCACTTCATCCCATTTGGTGAAGTAGTTGACCATTACTAAGATGTATCGGTTGTCAGAGTGTGTAATGGGGAGAGGGCCGGTATTATCTATAACTACTCACTCAAACAGAAACCCTGTCCTCATCGATTGGCGTGGTGCTCTGGTCTTGGCTGCCTTAAAGGGGGAGCAAATCAAAAGGGTCAGTTACTTCTGGGACACCCTGTATTTGTGCGTGCTGACGTGTAAAAATACATTCACAAAGAGCAGAAAAGGTTTAATTACATTTGTTCACAGCAGAGACAATTTTAAATACCCATATTTCTGGCTTATTGGCCGTCATCGGCAGCACCTACCCAACTCTTGTCCAGATCGGTGTACGCCTATGTACTAATCTGTATCTTGATCGACTACCGGCAAAGACGTCGACCCGTTGGCTCAGTGGAAAGGACGTTCGTCTCCAGCTCACTGGTCGCGGGTTCGAAATTCGAGTGTAGCGGCAGTTTCTGTGGATATACTGGAGTCGGATAGGTGCTGCCGATGACGGCCGATAAGCCAGAAATACGCATATTCAGCACTCCTTAACGTTTGCCGGTAATACATTAGTTACTTAAATTTAGCGAGTAACATAATTGTTTCGTCCTTGAGAAGAATAATCTGGAAGTGTCCAGTCATCGCCAGACGAAACAGCCAGGGTTGGTGAATCCTAAACCAGATCGGTGTATACCTATGTACTGAGAGACGATTTTGTTTTGCGTCCATGGAATTGAGGTTAGTGTACTTACAAGATACAGCACTAGAGTCGAGAAAAGGTTGACGAATTCCGTTAACAAATGTTTGCTCTACAAATGTGTGACGTTTCGTGCTCTAAAGGTAAGTAATAAACTTAGAAGAGGCAAAAACGTGTTTTACGACGTCGAAATTAGTAGGCCTATTTGACATTTGTGGGCTCTTGGCCCTACTTATGTGTTGTTAAAATTTATCAATAACCAATTTTGCTAAACTCGAATACAACAAACATACGCACTTTCGGTTTCGACGCGTGCTAGCAACAATCTTGCTAATCACTCTCCACAGCTCAACGCTCTCCCCACCTGCCGCTGTTTATTTTTGCCCTTCAACGACACCTCTCTGGTGATCATCCCTGCTGTTTATTTTGCCCTTCAACGACACCTCTCTGGTGATCATTCTCGGGCTCTATTACACTTTACAAACGTGTTTTCGCTCAATTGTCGCAACTCGCGACCCAACAAACTTGGATCCCAGTCTTCACGGACTCCAGGAGAATCCAGCGACAATTTGCAAACGAGTTTTCGCTCAATTTTCCACAAACTCGTGACCCAAACAAACTTCGATCCCATTCTTCACGGAGCCATTATTTGGCAAGTCGACTGCTTGACTACTGCCGGCCAGGATCGTGAAGGATCTAAGTGAAATCCTTTGGCAATTCGACTGCTTGACTACTGCCGGCTAGGATCGTGAAGGATCTAAGTGCGTTGTATCATTTCTAATCTTCATCTTAACCTTATATACCGGTTTTTACGACTTTTCCACTAGAATAGTCTGGTAAATCACTTACTAG